AAAAATAACAACGCGTGGTGTCATGTCCGTTCTCGAATCCACTATTTTGTATGTTGAGATTTCCTTGTTGAGACCGTTATCAACGATCTAGAACGAATCGACGAATCGGAAGGCCGAGAAGCACGCAAGCCATCGAAACTGCGGCCTGGATTAAGAATTCTAACGGTAGGAGTAGTCGACGTTGGTAGTAGGATGAAATGAGCGACGCGTCCGGCGCATTACGCAATGAAAGAAACAAATGAAGCTTAATAGAAAAACTGCTCGCGCTAGAAAAACCGCTCTGTCGTGGACTTAGTACAGTTGAGTCAGAAAGTCTCTCTACTGATATTTACCCACCCACCCCTCTTTCCTCTTTACTTTTTTTCTAAAGATCTATCTCTCGAAGGTTTTCCGTGAAGAAAAAAAAAGCAATTAAGTGATTATTAATTTAATCGTAATTATTGATTTCTTTTTTTTTGCACGGGATACTATTAAATTATGATTTTATTGAAATGTGATTATATAAAAAAAAGATGGTGATTTTAATCAAGGAAGCTTGTACCTGTAATAACATTTTGTAAAATTTTGAATTTATCATCGAACGTGCTATTGCTGAGAGAGAGATTAGGAGAGAAATAAAGAAAGAGTAAGATATTACTCGGTGTGTCGTTCTTTAATCATTGAATATTAGACGACAGGAAGGGGAATCATCGAAGTGCTTAATTGTCGCCGGGAAAGTCAGCGATCCGCAAAACTCGACGCGAGTCAACGAGACACTTCATGAATTTGTTACGTTCGTTTGGACGGTCGGTGGTATTAATGACGATTGGGGAGTAGCTAGCGAACGTGAGCTGAGCTCCACTCTTTGATGATTAGTAGAGTTCGTTTCTATTCCAAATTTAGTTGCATTAAATATTTCGCGTTAATGGATACTGATCTCGATTGCAAATTTAATTGTAGTCAAATGAAGTGCTAATTTGCGAAATGAGTCGAGAGAAAAGTCTTCTTTTAGCTTATCGATGACAAGACCGTAAAGTTTGATTTTTAATACGAATTAATTTACATATAATCAGAAGGAAAAAAAATAATTTATGTTGATTTTATGAATGAAAAAAGAGCAAAGTAGGAAGGAAGAAGAGATGAACGAATTCGATGGTCAAGTACAATGAAAATCCTTTGGCAAGTTTCACCAAGTTCAAAGGTTGAGTTGGCTACTCTACTCGTAGAATTAAACAGATTGTTATTCGATGAGAGAACGACTCGCAAGTTGATAGACGAGAAGTGACTAGTACGTAGAACGCGTTGCTCGCGTTTTTCCCGACTGTACCATCACCGTCGTCGTTTGTGGCTGTGTCAATAGGAGCTAATCTAAGTACATATGCACACACAAATGCAACACGAGAGAGCGCACGATGCAGCAGCACGTTGTGGCGGGACCATGATGCAATCGTACCTCATGCTTCGCGCGAGTTTCGACATTCTCTTTGCTTTGCACCGTTCACAAAGAGCAACAGAACGATCATCAAAGAGGAAAATCATCAATTTCCAAATATTTCTACCCTTAGATGAAAGGGATGTTCATTTTTTTTGGTTTTTTATATTTGCGTCTCATTTTATAAAATATTTAATAATCTTTATTTTGATTTTTATATTTAAGAAAATCTGGACGAATTGAAATGACATTGTATTTATTTGTTTCTATTTTTTAAGACAAAAGATAGAAATATTCCGTTGTTATCGAATGACGTATTTTGTAAGACAATAATTTACTTCGGAAAGATTTGTATGTATCTAATATCTTCGTTTTTATAGGCTAGGTGCGACCGAAAAGATAAGATAAGCTCTTCGCGCATCCAGGATCAAGGTGACCAAGATAACGATTGAAAAATTCGAATAACATTTGCGTGGCCTTGAAGTAAATTTTTCTAAGAAAATGCCTTAACAGGGGTACGAGGGAGTTTGACTAGAAAAATTACTTCAATGATTTGTCGTTTCAATAACAATGTACAATAAAATGTACAATTATCGTAATGCAAAAACAGACAATTGTGAATAAAAAGAATGATTGTCAGTAAATTGAATTCGAACGGAAAGTAATCGATGATTGACAGAAGGTACAGACATTTGCACCGGATATTTCATCATGAACAGGAGAATATTGTTACAAAGGGTTTAACAATCGTTAAGCCTCTAATATCTAAATGCAATCATTGAAATACGTACTCGCTCGATATAAATTTATAAAAATTTTCTTAAATATGAAAACATATAAAAAAATCATTTCATTTAATTCTTATTTATTAAAAGATTATTATTTGAAATAATCTAGTATAATGTATCAAGAAAAAAAAGATTACAAAAGTTTTATTTATTTTTCAAATAAAGGACCAATCGAATGAGCTTTTTTTTCAGTGTAGTAAAAAAAAAGAAAAAATAGAAAAGTAAAAACGTGCATTCAAGTTTGTATATATGTGAAGCTTGGGTAACAATTGGAAGTTTTGCCTTTTTCGCGAAGGGTGGTGTCGAGAGGAGAACGAGGCGGGTGAGAAGGGAAAGGGGGAGGAGGTGAGATGAGAAGAGGAGAGTGCGAGGTGCGGTAGGAAGAGAGGGAAGGAGGAATTTTCCGTGGAAATCATCGACGTGGCCCGGGTCATCGACGAGCTCTCGAGCCCAGGCTCGCGCGCGGTAGCGGGCCGGAAACGTACACAGTTAAAGGTTTGTGTGTACGTATAAACGGCCCGTTCGCACACATGCACGTGGCTTAGGCCAGTGTCTCGCATAATCGGGGTGGTGGTTCCCGCAGAGAGCGCCGTACGGCGGGCTCCCATTGGCCGGTCCGAGGGTGGCTCGCTGCAGTCATCGATTCAGGCAGTCATTGGCTGACTCGGCCCTGGCCGCCATTTTGAATGACTCCGGGATCAATACGCGAGGTGCGGAAAAAAAATGCATGCGAGAGCGGCCGCCGGCGCGCCGCCCTCACCAGCATCCTCTCTCTCTTCTCCTCTCCTCTCTTCACTCTATCCTTCTCCTACATTCTCCCCCCTTCCTTCTCTCTCTCCCACACATACATAGCACTTTACGGACGGCGACGTTCGTACTATCTACTAGTACAACGCATACTACCTCCTCTTTCGAGGATCGAGGAGGGCGGGGGCTCCCTAACGCCTTTCCGCCCTCGATCACCGTCCTCCTCCCCTTAGCCACCCTCTTGCCGTTTCGAACGTAACTAAAGGGGATGATTGCGTTACTCGTACGTATGTACATATTTTCGCACACATACCTACCAGTGCTACGAAATCATCGAAAAAATACTCGCTCTCGTATGGCTGAACACGATTCGAACACGATCCTTTTACGACAAACGTTTCTATATGGCACGACTATCTATGGTCTTTGTATGTGTGTATGTTTAAAATATATGTGTATACGTTACTCTTCGTACTCTTTCTTTCTACCCCCTTCTCCCGTCATTCGATGCATGCAACGTTTCATTTTGAAAGCGAGCCTCCAGTTGGGAAATAGGAAATTTCAAATCGAAGCCCAGCGCACCCACCCACACCTCACCAACACCCCTCGCAGCCTTTCTTCGCGACTCACCCTTCCAACCTCTCCCCCATTTTACCACCCACACTCCTCCCGCAATCATCGCGTTGCAACAGCCCGGGCCGTCCGAACAGGGGTGCGTCATCGTTCGCTTGTCGAATGGAATGATTTCGACGCTAAAGCCAGCTCTTTGTTTCCGGTGATCGTTCACTTTGTATATGAATGTGTGTGTTGGCGTTTTTTTTTAAATTTTCCATTCAGTTTTTTTTCTATTCTTTTTTAGCTATTGGTCAGATCAAAAAAGGAGTCATCGCGTTTCCCTCTGCCTTTATTTCATTCTATTTAACTACGTTGCTCTTTTCCCATTCGTATTATTATACTATCGCTATTCTCTATCCTATTTCTTTCTTTCTCTTTTTCTCTTTCATTCTTTTGGTGAATATTGAAACTCGAAAAAATCACGATTCTTATCGGCTATACTACGAAAAGCTTTATTAATATTTTTCTCATAAATCAAATGGAACGAGTTACGAACGAATCGTTCATTACTTTATTATTTATCGAAATCTCTTATGTATCTATATTCTTTCAACATGTTAATAGGAACGTTTTAGAAGTTCTCTTAAGGAATACGCCTGAATCGATAACTATAGAATGATAACTCGCGGCAATGCCGTTACATCGTCGCTTTGATGGATAGACGCGTCTTTGCATACTACTTAATAATCCGGGAGTCATAAGAATAATACGCCTAATGGCGTTACCACGAGCTAACACCGCTGATTATAGTGCTTGCCATTATTATGGACATTTTCGCGCTTAACCGTTCTACTATATAATAAGCACCATCGAGGAAGACCATTGAGAACTAGAGAGAAACAGAGAAAGAAAGAGACAGAAAGTGGGAGAGAGATAGAAAGATAGAGTCACGGTAGATAGTCAGACGTGTACGAAAGTATACTTTAGCTACCTCAGAGTTTTACAATAACCGTTACACAGGCGTTACCACCCCGACGATGATAAAGGCCGATAGAGAGTAGTTATTACAAAGCACGACTTGTAAAATGATCGCTTTACGCGACTATGATTCTACCTATACGCGAGATAGAATAGAAGAGCATAGAATTTTGTAGAAGATTTATCGAGTTGCTCGCGCGAACGATGAATCTTATCTTTCATTCATCGATCGATTCCTTTCAATAGACTTTTCGACGACTCTACTATTATATAATACATTTATATGTATAATACAAGTACATAAGCATATGTGTATCCTCGTAGTCGAAATAGTGGAGGGCCCTTTCGTTCTCGTTATTTAATATGTCGAATCGAGCTCAAATCTATCAATATATGTATATATGTAAATGTACGCCAATATGTATATATATATTAAAAACTACGTAAAAGAAAAGTTATATCGTGCAATAAGGTAAAATTAATAAATGGTAATGATAATGATGAACTTGACTAGTACTTACGTTTGGAACCGAACTAATTGAAACAAGGACATAAGGCTTCTCTTGGTAGCAACGACTTTTAGATCACATTTTTAATTATTAAGAATTTTATGATTTTTTTTCATTTTTCGCTTTTAAAATTTACGTTTAAAATCTAAAGTTTTCTCAAAACTTGTTAAAAATATACTTTAGTCATTTCTTTACAATTTACTTTGTAGACGTCTAAAGTGTTTTTTTTTGTTTCCTTTTTTTATCCCCCCTTTGTCTCTCGTTTGCTCCTTCGACGGTGTAGGTATTAATTACTCTCCTTCTTCCTTAAGGCAATGCTTTTGTTTTAAATTTCGTTTCTTCTCTTTTTTTTGTGCTTTTTTAATATTTTTTCTTGGTTTCCTATTTCTTCTTTTTTTCTTCCTCGTCGTCTTCTTATTCGTCGTAATTTTGAAACGAATCACGTTCGAAAGTAAGTTTTCTAAATAATCGAGTCTATTCTCTTTTTCTTTTTTTTTTTGCTTAATCTTTTTCTTTTTTTTGTTCTTTTTTTCTTTTTTCTATTTTTGGATTCGGCAAAACTTAAGAGGAGTTGTTCAGACTTTGTGTTTCACAGACAGAAATCGGTGCAAGTTTCGAAAACGGTGAAATTAATTTTTCAATGAAATAACTATGACAACACATAACAACACAGTGCGACGCGTCTGAAACAGATAAAAGAGAAAAGGGACGTCGAATTTCCGGTTCTTTTTTTTCCATTAGTCGCCCCGTATGCGGTGAATAAATCTCTATCACCGTATACGGGGCGAATTATCAAGTTTTTTTTCGCAAATTTGCTTATCCCGATAAATGTAAATCAATGAGCGATTGTCGCCAAGGGGGACCGAGGAATATTTCTAACCCATTACAAATCCAGTACCATTTAGATTTCTTTTAAATTCGAAATTGAAATTTCGATCTCTTCAATTTTAATAGATGGAAGCATAGATTATCTTTTTCCGAAAAGACCAAAAAAAAAGAGTAAACGGTATAAATAAAATAAATGAAATCAGAGAACATTCGCAAGAAATTGATCAGGTAAGTACATGTTAGGTCCAATAATTTAATCGTTCTGAACAATAGATTGGTAAACAATTTGAGATAAAAAAAGAAGAAATAAAAAAAAAATTAGATGAGAGAAAAAAAGATAAACGATCAATCGAAGAGAAAAAGAAAAAGAAAAAAAGGAAGAGAAGAAGAAGAAAAAGAAAAACAAATGGTCGATCGGAAATGATGATTCCCCAGAGAAGTTCAAGTGGGCTTGGGTGGGCTGTGACCAGCGTTGGTCACATCTCAGGCGTCGGCCTTGAGTCTACGTTCAAAGCTCCCGCGCGCTCCTCTAAGGAAAAAGCACGGAATAAGAAGGGGGCCACGTGACTCGAGGAACGAATGAGCGTCTTTGCCACCCCCTGCCCTTCTCCTTCCGTACTTCTCGAGAGCAAGAGACCGAGAGAGAGAGAGAGTGTGAGAGAAGGAAAGAGCGTCCCCTCCACCTTCATCTCATTCCCCTTCTAAAGAGGAGGCGCGCAGCGTCGCTCCTTGCGCGTCGTGATAAGACGCGTCGGGACGCTCCCTCCGTCCTTCTCCTTCTCTCTTTCTCCCTCGCTCACTCCCTATCTCGTCGCGCTTTCCCGGACTTTTCTCCCCCACGTGTTTCTCGCGGCGCGGCAGTGTCTGCTGGCACGTCGCGGTGCGATCTTCCTAAGGAGCCACAAGGCGACTTCCTCTTCCTTCATTCCTTCCTTCCTTCCTTCCTTTCCTTTCCTCTTTCATTCCTTTCATCCTTTCCCTCTTTCTTCCTTCTTTCCTTCTCCCTTGTCTCTCCGTTCTTCGTCATCTTTCGTTCGCACACTTCTTTGCAACTACTTCCAAATGATACTTTTCTTTCCGCTTCTTTTTCTATTTTCATTTCTTTTTTTTTTTACCCTTCTAATGACAAAAACCGAAACCAACCCAACCACCCACCCACCCTTTCTCGGTCCCCCTTTTTCTCCAAAACGCTCTCCGCGACGCAAAGGAGCGATAATTATCGAACGAAAACGGAATTTCGCGCTCCAGTAAAAACACCTCGCGAGAAAAGACACGACTTCTTTCCTTTCTTTTTTCGCGAATAAACGCGAGACGCGCGCTTAAACAACGGATATTTCCGCTAAATTTCGGTAACCTTTGATAGAGGCATTGCGAGCATCCCCGTGTCTGAGTAGCAACTGCGCCGTGGCCCCGTGCTGAGCACCCCCACCTCACCTCTTCGCCGCTTCTATCGGCCGCCATACACCGACCCCCCCAACACCACCGGCCAAACCTCCGTATGCCGATGCCGTGTAGCGAGCCACCAACCCTCTCTCGGACGTTCTCGCTGGCTAGCCCTCCGCCTCCACCCCTCGTCGACCCCTTCGTCACCACCACCCTCCTACATAGTCACCACCACAACCACTACCACACTACCACCATCGCTACCACTACCCTCTTCACCCACCATCCTCCCTCTCTTCATCCACATCCTCATCCTCCTCTTCTACCCTCTACCCGAGAGTCATGAACTGAGTCTCGGCTCCACGGCGACGCTTACTTGCGTACACGAATTTTCCCTGGTTCACATCAACTGCAACCCAATGACGAATTTAACTATTCGATTCTTGACTAGAAGATCTAGACCACCTATTAAGTATACCTATGTCGTTATAATGTTCTATACTTAAAGGAGACCGAATCGTAGACCGACTCTAGTGGGATACAATCGAACTGTTCCAGCTGAGATTAACTGATTCTACTTTAAGTTGGATTAATTGATAGTTATAGCAACATTATGATCTCTTATATTTTCTATGAATTATGTTTAATAAAATAATTTACGAAAAAATATTGTAATTTGTTTATTCCTCCTCTTATGAAAATAAGATCTACGCTAGATAAGGTGGCATTTTTCGATAACTTAAAACCGACACTTTGTTTTCGAGGTGGCTCGATGAACGACCGAGGGGTGGTTTCTCTGTCGTACACAATAACGATTCGGAGGCGTTATCGTTGCTTTACATCCCTTTGGCTTCGGCGTGACAGTAAGGTTAGCACGGCGTTGTTACCCGCACGGCAGAATGGACTTCACGTTCACCGTGTATTCCAAATCCTGCTGTTGACCGCAGCCTCTGCTTCTCTGCTTTATGAGACTTTGATCGAAGATAGCTATAATAATCGAGTGATCTTTTGATTTTTCCTTTGTTGCTATCGTCATATATGATCTATCATTTATAGATAATATATTGGCAAAACTTAACAAAAAAAACAAAAAAAAACCAAAAAACAATATTCAAATGTTAGGCAAAATCAAAAGATTCTTTTACTAAAGTCAATCTAGGATGGAAAATGAAGATGTTCGAAAAAGGGTTGGAGAGTGAAACGATTCAGTCGATTTGGAAGGAATACGAATTCGCCCTCGACGTTCAATAACAATTTCGAGGAGCCGATGCGGCTTCACGTGCTTCGGTCGCCGGCGTGACAGTAAGGTTAACACACGAACGTTGCGTACGCAACCTAACCGAATACGTACACCATCGTATTTCGAATCCTGGCGTTGACCGCAGCTCGTTCCATCGCGCTTCCACGAGGGATGGTAGGCCACCCCCAGAACGGCGTGCCTCGCCTCTGGAAATTCTCCAGCGGCATTCCCTCGCGCGAGCCTTTCGTCGATAGGGCGACTAGATCTTATTACTACCTGCAGAGATACGCGCTCACACAATTTTGCCCTTGTACGAGAGACTACAACTACGATTACGACGACGACTACCACCATGACAGTTGGATCAACGAAAGCGTCTCATATTGTAAATGTCTCTATAACGGTCCTAGGGATTCCGAAACAATTCATTGGTCGTTTAACGCTTAATCGTTTTTACGCGCAAAAAAGTGCATATGAGTAAAACACGCCAGGTTTTTATACTTCGTTTAAACCCTTTTTTTCAAACATCTTTAATAATGGTGTTGGAAGGTAATTCAAGTATTTATGAAGAGAAAAAGAAATTGTTTCAAGAACTCGCAGACATCTTTTGTACGACCCCACTTCAACTACTTCATAATTGTATCAATTGTCTTACGAGCTTCTCTCCTTCCCTTTCTTTCTCCCTTTTCGAGTTTATCTCTCGACCGTTATATATCGAGAAAAGTGAATGGTCTTGTCTCAATTCTCCCTTTTTTCTTCTCCTCCCTTCGTACCTATCTTTCTTTCTCTCTCTCTCTTTTTCTAGCCCTTCTTGCAGAACACGACATCAGGGTGACCCCTTTTGTTACTCGGCTGATCGAAAAATAAAAATTTCTAACCGGATGAGAGTTTGACCTGAATCTTTTTGTTGAAGAAAATGAAGAGGGGTAGGTAGAGAGGAGGTACGAGGTGAAAGGGGGTTAAGGGGTACCGGTAAGCGCACAATGATCTCGTCGTGATTTGCATATGTGGACGTCCAACGTGTAGCATGTGGCGCATTCGAAGGTCACTTCTGTTATTTACAGGGCTTCTGTTCGACTCTAAGACCTCCAAAGAAGGAGATACCAAATAAAGGAAGAAGAAAGAAAATTAGATTTCATCCGACTCGACGAAGGGTTGTGTCTTTCGTTCGTTTTTTCTCTTCTTCTTCTTCTCAATGAAAAAGGAAGAGAGCGAGGAAAAGGATAGGGGGAAAGAAGAGTACGAAAACTTGGTAGGTAGGACGGCATCAAGTCTGGACAAGGGGGATGAAACCGTTTCTTCTCTCGTTCGTCTATCTCCCTGCATTTTCGGCTACCCTACCTATTCAGATAATTATAATAATAAGAGAACGACCGGTTGACCATCGGGCGACCCGAGAAGGGATAAAACAATCGAGTCTGATTTTTTGTCCTGACAGCTGCGTGTGCGATCATCTACATAGTTCTCGACCTCGAGGTTGTCGATAGGCGATGAATTTATGCTAGCCCTTACCAACCCTTTCTGGATGACTATTACCATTCGTGAAATAAACGAATCAAAACTTTTACTCTAGTGTTATTTTTTTCGATAAGAAAAAAAAGGAAGAAAAAGAAAAGTTTTCTCAAAACGAGAAGGAAAAGGAAGAGAAGCAGTAAAATGAGGTAGAATACCATGAGGTGGTGTGAGGGGGACACTTGGCTAGTCGCCTAATGATCGCTTGGCGGAGTAGAAAGGAAAGAGAGAAGATCGAGACGGGAGGTGGGTAAAGGTGGAAGAGGTCAATAGCTGATGTCCTGGGTAATTAGTAAAAACAAAGGATCTGGCCACAGTAGGAGTCGGGAGAGGAGGAAGTGGGAAATGGCCGTTTGAGAGGAACATGAGAGACGGACTAAAAGCAAAAGAGAGAAAGAGAGAGGATGGGACAACGCCGAGCGTCGAGATAAAATCTAAATGAGAAAGTAATCCCTCGGATGGTGACACGGAGAAGAGAAGAAGTCCGGGAAAGAGTCGACTAGAAGGAAAACGAAAATGAAGAAAATAGAAGAAAGAGAAAAGAGACTGAGTCGTGAGAAAGGATACTCTGATGACTTTAAACGTTGAAGTATGCATTCGTCAGAGACATTCGTCGTTGGTAAGCAAATGGCTGTTTGATCCTGACGCATAAACCGTAGCAGGTTTGAACTTTGACTAACCTTACTCAACACCTATCGAGCACACGAGGCCACACGCACGCAAATTACACCCCCGACATCGCGTTTACCTACCCCATTTATTTTGGCAAGTCTAGGTTTACCTGCTATCGATCCCGAGGCAAAGAGAATATACTATAATAACTGGATTCTCACGATTCCGACTTCCTCCCTCGTGCGAACTTACTCCGTTTCGAGTTTTCTCACACCCTTCTCGTCAAAGAATACGCCGGCAAAGTAATCAAATGAAAACAAAAATCGAGTCGGCCGACCTCTCACGGTTGGTAGAGAAGTAGAAGAAGTAGAATAAGAAACTTACCACAGCCAAGTTTTACCTTTTTCTCCGCAATTTGCGGACGATTCATCTTCTACTCCGACTTCTTCCTCGAGATACTTTTTACCCTCAATCCCTTTTCTCGCGAAAAGTAAGAATTATCTTAGAAGTATCAACCTCGTGGCCACACTTCTCACTCTGATATTTCTTTCCTCAAGAAAAAATATACTTCAATTCCGAGCGAATACGTTTATTTGATTAAAACATTTTTCCATATCTAATTACTCCTTTCGTCTATCAATTTTAATAATTCTTTTTAGTTAGTGTTCTTGAGGAAGAAGCAAGTCAAACGAGATATAGAGTAACTGCTGTATTCTTAGCACGCGATGCGGTCTCATCGATCCTTACGATCATCGCTGACCAACAAGGATGACCTACATTTTTATTGATTTTCGAAAGATTAAAAAAAAGATAGAATTGATAATTTGAATTAACTTTTTACCAATTTTTCCTGTGCGTATGTTGATATTTGAGAATAATAGATCGAGGATTATCCGCGTGACCGTACCGCGTCTAAAGCGAACGTCCGTGCACTCCATGTACATAACACGTGAACAATCGGAAGAGCCGGGGAACCGTCGACCACCGTGGCATATGCTATGACCTCCCGACTGCTCGAGAGCAGCTGCAGCTTCATACCCGAGATATCGTGACTAACTACGCGCAAGGTGTTCTTCTCTTTCTCATTTCTTGAAACGGCCAAGAAAAAGTCAATACGTTCGATGAATGTAAACAAAAATATTATGTTCTTCTAAAAATTGTCTTTTTTTTTTCTTTCAAGATGTTTTACATGTATAACATGTTCCATTTCATAGTATTATCTTTATTACCTTTTTTGTAGAACATAATGGGATCATATATAACTCGATAAAATAACATAAGATCAAAAATACTTTTACATAGAAATTATTTGGAGAAAGCAAGAGGGAAATTTTGTTGAACGATTTAAGAGAAAAGAAAGAAAACACAATGAAAACTTTTTTCCTTATCAAATTCGTATAGAATAAATTTTGATATCTTTTAATCGTTTGCGAAATATAAAAGGATGTCCTTAATGTATGTTTTCAACGGATATCCTTAATGATCGCATTAGAGTTTAAAATTTGCGTGCTGCCGACTCGAAATGTGATTTTTAGTCTTTTCCGTCGATTGCGGTTTGCTGGCCCCATTTCGACTCGAGGTCGTCAACTACGAAGCTTATTGTTCGAGCCTCTTCCTTTTGTCCCCACGTGTCTGTTCTGTTTTGCGAAGCGAAACAAAAGGGCCGTAGTGGTG